AAAAACAAAGATAGCCTCATGGATCAACAGAAGGCAGTACTGTACTTCAGTTAATTATGGATATGCATGCCCACTGAAGGCCACAGTGAGTGAAGAAGTGTGCCTGTTTCCATGCTCTTATGATCAAATTAACCTTACAGCTGGGAAGGGACATCTTGTATCAATCACACCATCCTCTGCCATCTGCATTAGGGACAGAAACTCAGCCCAAATTCCAGATGTCAGTTTGAGTTTAAGAACAAAGGTTTCCTTTGCCAATTCAGAAAAAGCCAAACATGTAATGTCTTTGTATTAAAAAAAAAAAATTAAAAAAATCACTTTTCAGAGGAGAAACAATTTGCAAGGTAATTCTGAACACTGAGCCCCATGTGCGGACAGGCTGGTTTTGCATACTATCTGTGATTTCCCACTGTTCCATTTGCAAGCTGCATCAATAATTTTGAACAGTTTTACCTTAGTTAAAAATGTGCACTGTAACATTTAAAGAGAGCTGTTACTACTTCACTTGACAGCTTCTGAGATAGTTCAGGATCCAGTGCTGTTTCTGACACAGCTCACGACAGAAACAGCAAGCTGAGAAAGGCTCAGCTAAATGGGTGGAATTGCAAGAGTTGTTATCAAGCATCAGACCCTGGATTCAGAAAAAAAGCCAGCAAGTGCCAATTATTTCCCCCCCCACCCCCCCCCAAGGCTTGAGAACTTATTAAATATATTTGGAAAAAAAAAATTAAAAACAGTTCACTGTAGGACATCCTAGTCTCAGAAAACAAGTTGTGATAACTGCATGTTTTAAAACACCTTGTGTAGTTTGTGCATCATATACAAGTACATCATAGGCAATGGGGAAGATCCAGCATTTGTGTACACATTAACATACAGGCAAACACTGATAGACGTAACAGGTAAGACTGATCCCAAAACAAACCAGTGCATTGATTTGTGTCTACACCACATCCTAAAACATATGGAACAAGTCACAAGTAACAGTACAAACCTCTTGCAACTTCAAAACGTACATCTTAGAAAAAGACAATGCACGTACCCAGCCCTAAGACAGTTATGAGTTTGTGAGATAACTTTTCGAAGATCAAGGTACCAGAAGAGGAAGGCACATTAACCTCTGGTTGGTCCGTGTCGGTATTATTTGGATGAGTCATAGTGATTTATATACCCTGAGACTGTGGGAGGCCTTGAAAAGGAAAGGAGACCAGTTGAATGGGCAAATATAAAGTACAAGTTTAATGAGATTTTAAGATTCAGCACCTGAATTTTCCCTTTTAACAAGGGAATCTAGAAAAGCAGTTCCTAAGAAAAGAATGTATTGACTCCTAGATTTTTGTTCTGAGGTCAAACAATCAACATCTAGGACTATAGAAACATTGCACTATATTGCAACAGTTTTCACACACCCTCTCAGCTTCAGTCTAATGACCACAACTGGTATGCAATCAAGTGTTTTACTTGGTGTTTTTCTGGGTACAGAAATGGTCAGGTAGGCCACATTTTCCCAACTCTGTCAACCCTGGCACCCTGTTTTGGATCTGTGTGTGCTTTCTTAGATCATACTGCTCCCAGCAGGATACTAGAAAATGGCACTCAATTTTTAGTTGGGAAGATTCCTTTCTGTCAAGAGCATTCTTTCAATTTGCCAAGTATCATGTGGTTTTGATAAAGAAACCCAGCATCACAAGCAAAAAGATACTCCCTATTTTAAATCCTTGAAAATTAACATGGAGAAACAAGAATGACAGGGATATCTACTTGATCCCTCTGAAAACATTTCTGATTAAGCCCTTTCACAAGTACCTCCTGAGCAATGAACAAGTATCCCCTCTATGTTTTTAAATTCCTCAGGAGTCCTGAAAGCAATACCAAACACTGTTGGGCTTTCACCTTTTCTCTTGTGCCCCCTTGCCCATCTTCACCACACACCAAAGTGCCTGCTTGCAGAGGCAAGGGAGAGCATATGCAGGAGATCCCTTCAGACAAGATGTGGCTATATTCTTTCCACTCTCCTTCCTCTGCAACATGTACAAATTCCTGGTGCCTGTGCTTCAGAGACTTTCAGGTAAGTTACTGAAGGCACTGCAACACTCAGAAATGCATTTTAAGTTGAGGTCACACCACGGGCTGTAGCTGTGGGGTGGCCAGTGGTGCACACAGGGATTTTCACTTGTCTTTAAGCTAGAAGGCGTGTGCCTGGCTAGCATGGGAGTCCAGGACTCGGTACAGGCTGGCCAGAGGATCAGCTCCACCTGCATCACACACAGCTCTGCAGCAGTGATCCTAGGAACAAGCTGTACCCCAGTTCAGCAATTTAGTCATAGCAGCAATTGCGACAGAAGCAAATTAAGAACCTTGGAAAAGTGGGTTTATGGAAAATGAGGGCATCAGACCACCACAAGCAGATCTCAGAGCTCCCATCTAGCTGCTGAAAGATGCTGCTGCTTTGCCAAGATGCAGCAACTGACAGCCTATCTGTTCTTGGTTTCTTGCAAACAAACAAAACAGGTGACCTCCATGAAGGGTCTAGGCAAGCCTGCTTTATTTCACAGCTGCACCAGGTGAGGGACATAAATTCACAAGGTCAGTAAGTACCTCTCAACTGAGGGGCAGAAATTAAGACACCAAACCACCACTCGACATAGCTGGATCATAACTTTACTCTGTTAACTCTGTAGCTGCAAGCTATGTACAAAGGAAGTACTCAAGTGAAGGAAAAGGATGAAATTCTGGAGAAGATAAACTGATACATAAGTATCTTTCTTAATCCTTAAGATACAAAAAGCTGCCAAAGACTTGAAACAGAGGCAGCAAATATATCCCCATAATGAAGTTCAGGAGTCCCTCTCATGAAGGGAGTCACAAGAGTCACCCACAATGTCAATGTAACATTAGCGGACAGACTTAAGTCCAGTAAGATCACTGGGCACTCTCGCAGTGAATCTTAAAAATGGATCTATGTGGAGAATTAACAACTGAGACTAGGAACAAACACCTACTAACTATTCTTTGGTAATTTACTTACCTTGGACTAACACCAGCAGCACTGATGAGGGAATCAAACAAGTGGACTCACTTCTTTACCGCAATTCCAGAAAGCACCCGAGGAGAGCACTAGCAATTCTCCCTGGATGACTTGACTGTACAAGGGAGAAAGCTGGAGGAATTACCAGGAATAAGGTGTTTGGTGAAGAGGGTGAGCACCGCCCTCACTGCTATGCTCAAGCCAACACTGCAAAGTAGCTTCTGCTTCCTTAGTAACATCTGTCACATTAACACTCAACTGTTACTGAGGAGTTGCTACCCAGTACTTACAAGCTGGGTATTACTGAAGCCATAGTTAAGTCACTAGTTTGATTATATGTGATTATGAATACTGAAAATGTAATACCCAAAGATACCCAAATTAACATGCTAGTCTACTGAAAAGAGCTAAGCAGTAAAATTAAGTGCTTCCTACACTCAGCAGCAGCACAAAAGATCCCACATGACTGAAAAGTCAACAGCAGGAAGAAAAGTCTGAAGGTCTGTTTAATTAAAGTTCTTTCCTCTCCTTCAAGTGCCTAACACTAGATAAAGCAGAGTCTGTTCCCCCCACCAGGAATAGACTGTTGCTGTGTAATCCCATCAGTGAAACATGTATGAGGGCAACTGCCCAGTTCCACAGTCTAAGCCAGCCTCAAAGGTATACCCAGTTTAAAATAAAGCAAATCGAAGGTCTCAAGCATGGCTTGACAAAATGCCAGCAAGCCCATTTCTGCTTGACAGAGGTCACCTCTGCAAGTACAATATTGCTACAGTAAAGACTGGGATGATTTGGGGTGGAGGAGGCAACCCCAAACACACCATTCCGGAGGGGAGGAAGGAGCAAGGGAGGGAAATCATTAAGGAACATTGGGAAAGATAAGACGGTCTGAAAACGGGCATGCCACTGGGTCTCAGCAGAGCACAGTGAGCTGTTCAAGAAGCTACTGAAGTGCAGTCACAAGACTCAACTCCATCCATCGCAGGGGTCTATCTGACATTTCAATAACAGGATGCCCCCAAATCACCTCCACGCAGAGCCTGGAGATTCCCTGTCGTACAGCCATTTCTGCCCTTTGATGGGAAATCCCTGCCTTTCTCTCCATGATCCTGGATTTCAATTCCAATATCTAACCCAACAGGGAAACAAAATCAAATCAAGTAAGGAAACCTGGCTTTTCCCTGTTCCTCCTATCACTTATCTTTGGACAGTTGGCATATCATCACCTTTGCCTCAATTTCTAACACTAACTGGACCAAAAGTGACAGACAACCAACCACAAAATATTCTGAAACTTAACATCTGTGTCACTACAAGCATTTAAACCCAATAAAACAGGCTAGAAATTGAGTTCTCTCTGGCCCAATTTGTTTACAGGCTTGCAGCACTGTCTAGTTTGTTTCCAGTTTTTGGGGGGGATTTTCATACAGCAACAAGGATGGACCCCTCCCCATGAGAAGTCATCTTTGCAAGAAAGCACCCTGAAAGCAGAATACACAGAAGCACATGAGACTTGAGGAATTTTACATCCTTGTGCAGATTCTTCTTAGAATTTTCCAAAGTTTCCTATGCAGAAAAAAAAAAGAAGGGCACTCACACTACCAGGCTTTAGGACCACACATTGAGGTACTCAGGGAGATCAGAGTCAGCAGAGAGGGACACTTTCCAGGGGTGTCTTCAGTAACCTAGAGACTACACTGACTGCAGAAAAAATAGCCTCTGTGTTTGGAGGCTGAAGCTCAGTCCACACAAATACCCTTTTTGCTCCCTCACCCAGACCTGGGATATGCTTCAATTAACAGATCACCATCAGGGCTAGAATTGGAAATTCTAGACCAGGAGTTTTCGATTAGCACTGGTGACACTAAGTGCCTAATTAGTAAATGTTGTTTCAGCAGAACTGGAGGACACTCAAGTGCCTCGTCTCTTTTGAGGGAAAAAAAAAAAAAAAAAAAAAAAAGCAGTACCTCAGACCAAGCCCAAATAAAAAAAGCTAAGCAGAACACATTCCCTGTGACAGAGTGATCTTACACAGTAGCTGAAGGAATAATCCTAGAAATACACAACCAGCCATACTTCGCCAACACTTGTTTTTCTCTGCATACTTCCACCTCTCAAAACCTCTAAAATAACCAAAGCAGTATGTTGCCATCACAGAACAATGCAGGCACCATTATGACATCTTTAAAAAACAATGATCAACTCTACATAAAATTGGAGAGCTCCTTTGCTACCCCATGGTATATAATTTGTCCCTTTTCAGAGAAAAGCCTGAACAGCCGCACACAGCGCCGTGAACTCATTCAGTTTAAGCAACCAACCCACAAGGGAAGTAGAATTATGAAATGCCGCAAGAAGATCTGTTTGTGAAGCACCCATGGCAGTGCTCAGTGTGAGTAAATTATACTTCTGGGACAGGTGCACATCTGGGAGAGCTCTTCTCTGGCCATGATTTCCACCAGGATGGAAGGGAACTGCATTCCTTGCAGGATTTCCATCCAAGCCTCCACTACCAACTGGAAATTAAGCCTGAGGCTCACTGCTTGGCATTACTGATGAAGATACCGAGTACAAAGACGAGAGGGACCACAAGAACACATGCAGACTAGCTCTATGCAGTCTGGCAGGAACTACGTAAGGGACTAGAGCTACTCTGCAGTGGTGGCTGTGATCTCCAGCAGACGGGAGAACAGAGCATGTCCCAGCTTTGTCTTTCTTCTTGGCTTCAACCAGCTGCCCATTTGGCACCAAAGCAGTGAGGTACAGACACACTCTGCTCCACCAGTGACAGAGGCAGGGGAAAGGCATTCACCCCAGCAGGACAGAGGCATCATCAGTAACAAGCTGAGAGTTTGGTGCCTGCCAAAAGGCTAGGAGGAGCACCCTGGAGTCCTGCATTTTAGCTGAGTATTAGGTAAGACCATCACCATGGAATGTACATGTTTCACAGCTGGACCTGAAGGTCATTGGACCTATTATCCCCACCCAGTCCCACATGAAGCTTGATGGAGTCTGAATGCAAAAAGCAGCAGGGGATTTGGGGAAAGACTGAGCTTCTGCTACAGCAAGCAGGATGACAGCAGGTGCTACTGCAACATGAGCTAACAGCAAGTTACCCTGCTACATGGAAAGTTTCTAGCTTGCGATAGTTAAGTCCGAGATGCACTCTTTAGCCTTGGAAAAAAACCACTTTATTTATTACATTGACTTATTAGAGGAGATGCACAACAAGAACAGCTAAAATGGGAAAAGTTTCCACAACCTGGGACAAAAATGGTCCTGGGATTTAGGCAGTTTAAGAAGAACTCATGAGCTACAGCAGCAGCACACTCAGAAACCTTGGCTCATCATATTGAATGACAAGAACACTCGCATCCCTAGCTCCCATTTCCTCTAAGCACCTCTGCAGGCCCTCCATGTAATGTCCCCCTGCAATAGCCATGCTGCAGAACAGTCTACACAAACTCCAGTTGTGCAAGCTGATACCTGGGACAGGCAGAAAAGGAACAGAGAACAATTTTTGCTCCTGGCACTGCTGAAAACTACAATTCAAACACAAATGCACTTTTGAAAACTCCTGCAGTTCTGCAGTTTGGGCCTGATGGGCAATACCCCTGGGGAATCTGTCCCTGGGCTCCGATGAGTACAGCTTAAAATTACCATATTCCTCTATGTATAAACAGTGTCATTAGACTTGTACTTTTAAAAAATAAGATCAACCCAGGCCAGGGCCAGGCTCTGCAGATAAAGTAGTAGCTTATCTCTTATAAATATTTTTAATATTTTTTAATTACAAGTAGTCCTCACTCCAGGTAATGTAACTGACACAAAGCCCCTAGACTTTCACAGAAAGCCTGGGAGCAACCACTCTTTAAGGAAGGAATCCTACCTCACAGCAAAGTAGGGGAGGGGGCACATGGCCAAGATAGCCTAAATGTGGGGAAGAGTCATCTGGAGTAAATACAATAAACAGGGCATTAAAAAACCCATCATATAAAGGATCAAGGAGGTTAAAGCAAAAAACTGGTTCAAAAAGATGTACAAAACTGTTGGAGACCAACAGAAACTCTGCCAAAAAATAACTTGCATTTAAATCAGAAATCAATGGCATCACACAATTTTGTTGTTAAAAAAAGGAAAAGAAAAGTGGAAATCTGTGTAAAGATCAGCATTCATAAAGAGTTATCATTAGCTCCAGAGACCAGCGTAATTCCCATGAAGTCCTGATGGAAGAGGGCCTCCTGCCACAAAGAGTTTCATTCCAGACGAGTCGTAGCAGTGGGTGTAAACAGCATTTGGGAAGAAACTTATGTCAGAAAAATAATTCCTCCAGGTTTCATCATGGTTCTGTTAAAGAAAGGTTTAGAATTGTTACTGTTGCCAAACAAACCCAAAACCTTGTTTCACAAAAGCAGAAGGTAGCTTCCAGAGCCTAAAAATGGTTCTTTTCTATTAACACTCTCTGAAGCTTCAGACAGATCAACTTGAAGACATCAGAGTTGTCCTGAAGCTTTTTCTGAGGACATTTGGGCCAAACATTGGACAAAGGGAGGTGAAGGGTAGGGAAGATACCAAGTTTCATTAGTTTTTAAAGTTACATCAAAATGATACAAAAGGTAATGGATAGAAGTTAGACAAAGCCATTAACTGCTTCATGATAATATACAGGAAATTGAGCTCAAGTGCCTGCCATGGCTTTACCTCAGGAAGCCACAGCTTCTAAAATTGCACAGAATTGAATTAAATCACTTTAGAACCATGCTACAGTAGCATGGTTTTAAAGGAAGACAATGTATTTTTGTTTGAGCTTCTGAAAACTAAAACTAAGTTACATACAAAAATATAAAGATATAAAATCTAGTTTATTTATGAATCAGTGCATAAGCACATTAGTCAGTATGCCTTACACTCAAGCAACCAACCTTCAATACTCTTTCATAAAGCTTTTGTAGAAAGCAATTCTGCAGCACTTCTTGCTTACATGATTACTGTTACACGATCAGTGTTTTGCTGGGATGTGTTTCATACAACAGCTCCCATTATTATAAAAAGAACTGGTTCTCAAGTCCTACAGCACTCCTGTGTAAAGGGTCTCCTACAGCCTCAAAGGCTCTCCTGAGCCTCCTACTCACCAGCCAGCCTTTCCCAGTAGTCAGCTTCAAAATTTCACTCCCTCCTGGTTTCTGCCTCTGTCCATAGCAGGCATGTGTGGTCTTTTCATCCAGGAACCTCTGGGCTCTGATATCATAAAACAGTAAGGAACCTTGCCCTGTTCCCACTGTGATGATGTGCTCGTAGAAGCTCACCGATCGAATACCTGTCAAACAGAGAAGGGACATACAATGCAGTAAGGAAGAGGGATGCTTTGGCTCTGCAGTGCTGCTGCTTGATGTCTAGTATTTTAAGAGGAACTACCTACTCATATTCTTCACAATATGTAAGTTTCCCCACTGCTATGGAGCAGTGCAGACAAATCCCATTGATGCTATTAAAGCAGCAGCTTCAGTTACATATACTACTTCCCTTCTCCTCTGAGGCCATCAGCTACACTGATTGTGCACAGTAAGAAGCTTCATTCTCAGCAGGTCCCAGCTCTGCCAGAGAAGCAAAGATCATAAGCCATTTAGGATCAAGAGCAGCTTTGTTCTGTCTTTCACAAGCCTCTAAGTGAACACACCATGAACAAGTACGTGGCAGCAGAGGAAAGAACGTCACACTGGTTTCCTCTGTGAGCTCACACCTTATCTAGCTACCTGATAAGCGACTGTGTGAGAAAAATCACTGTCCCAGCTGCCACCAAGTACATTTTGCTGATCAACAGGCTAGCTGCAAGCAAGTATAACCATAATAATCACTAGTCACTTTGCTGCTAAGATAGATGAGGTTCTTAAGTAATTTTGCAGCTATCTCCACTCAAATATTCTCACAAGCACACCTTATTCTTTGCAGCTGGCACTTTTAGCACTTCACCCAGCAATGAAAAGAGACTAGGAATCCTGCAACCTAAGCAACGCCATGTTCCACCAGTACATGAGATGCTACAGCAATTTTCCAGTCCAAACAAAACATTCTACCACAATTCAGTTATGCCATTAGATTGAATAAAAGTACATTTTGTTTTCACAAATTCTAAACCTGAAGCCTCAGCTAAATGAGGATCCCTTGGAAATAATCTTGGGGAGACTCTGTATGTAGAAACTTGCAATTTGCAAAATGTCTTGTCATCTCACCTCTATTTGTTGTGCAAAAGGTTTGTTCTGTGTAAGCACTCTACCCCAGACAACTCTTTTATACAGATTAAACCCCACTATGTCTATGTTTTTCCTTCCTGCACAACACGATGCCAAGTTATAAACCCTATGGCTTTTTAAGCCCTCTTTAAAGTACCACTGAATTACAGCCTGAACAAGCATTCAGACAGAGGGGGAAAAGAGCAACTTATGCCAGCTACATCCACATGCCAACTGTTGTCACCATACCAAGTGAGACTGAACACCACGGAACTTGTAACATACTGGAATACACCCAGCGGTATACGTGGCAGCAGACATGCGTGAGGTGTGGATGCAGCCAGGGAGCTTCCCCTTTCTCTTTTGTACAGAGTTCTAACTAGAAACACATCCTCATCCTTCCACAACCTGATGTTACATCCACAGCTGCCAGCATCTGTGCCACACACTTAGAACAGGCAAGGCCACATTGTCCTGCTCCAGGTGTGAAGTGAAGTCTTGGCTGCAGGCTTAATAGGTGGGAAACTGCTGTGAAAGTCTCACACCTGCTGAATTAGATTTACCAGATTCATGTAAGAATCTCCACTTTAATTCAGAGAACTACAAATGCATCTGAGCAAGTTGGAGAGGTCTTCCCCCCCCCATTACAAGGGCCTGGCTCTGGCAAATACATGCAGAAAGCTTCAAGCCCTCTACAATCAGCAAGAGCAGTCACTTGGATAAGAGGAGAAAGGCACAAGAGGAGATCTCCTCTTATTTTTACTCTGGAAGTGCTCTTGACAAACAACCCAGCAGAACACTTACTTAACAGAAACAGGTGAAGGAGTATGAAAGCAGATGGCATATACTTTTCAATGCAATTTATTAATAAAAAGCTATAAAATGCAGAATGACTGTGGATCTTTCTCTAATAAAAAAAAATTAACTGAAGGAATCTGTGATGTACCCACAACTAAGAGGATGTTTAGAACAGGCTTTCAGGAAGAGCACTTCAAATTGGCTCCTAAGGGGCTGAAGTACCTCAGATTCATCATTCCCATCAAATGAAAAGCACAGTCTGTGCCCAGAACTGATCACAGTAAGCTCTCCAACCTAGCCAGCACTCTACCACCTGCGGACCTGGACTATTTGGGTCAGCAAATTGAGTCTTACTCCTGAGAGGCAAGGAGGCTCTACAAATCCCAGAAGGAAATGAAGATGCAGTAGCGTGTCCTACACAAGGAGCAGACACAGAGTCCATGCCATGCAAGCCCTGTCCACTACATTAACATTGCTACTTTCAGGATATAAAGTCAAGGGCACACAACATTGCACTGCACGCCAGTCAAGCAGAAAGCAGTTGCTCTCGCAGATGAAGAACGAGAGTCCAGGGCCTGCACTTCCCTGTACAACCACTAAGAAAAGCAACACTTAGAAGATGCACTAAAGAGCATTAGCTAACCTTCTCATAGAGAGAAGCCCCAGTTCCAGACTTACTAAATGACCACCTTTCTCTGACCTGCTTTTGTATACAACACTAATGATCTGAAGTTAATGTGGACTTACCACATTCAGCAGGTGCATTTGGAAGCTGAAAGCACATTCAGGTAACACATCAAAGCACTTAAAAGTCAACCCAGATTTCAGTCCATAAATCAATAAAGAGCCTACTTTCTAGAGGTGCTGCATGCTCCAAGTCCCAGTGAGATCAACAGAAAGTTGAAACACTCGGTATCTTGGGAATGAATATTACTTATGTGCCTCCACCACGATGCCAAAAACATCCAGCTCTGCCTACTATGCAGGACAGAAAGCAGCATTGACAAAGGCATTCTCCAGACATGAACTGGAGATGCCCCAGAGATATTACCTACACACAGATCATCCCGCCATCAAGGATGATCACGTACTGAAGGCAGAACCTTTCAGCCACCACTGGGCACCATGCTCCAGTGACTTGGTATTTCTTCCCTATGATACTGAAGGGTGACAGTGTCAGGACCTCCACAGAGCCCTCAGTGACAGTGGGTCAGGGCAAGGGCTGTTGCTGGTAAGATGTTCAGGTGACAACATGAGCTGGGAAAGCACCTTTTCTCATATTACAGAAACTTCTCCCATGTCTGAAAGAAGCAGATCCTGACATTTATTTAGACCGCTCAAACTCTGGTAACCACAGAAATAAAACTTTCCTAATCCTTGCCTACATGCATTCTCTTTTGATAACTTGCCTGATGAAGAGACGGATGCCTAGACACCAGCTAAATAAGGACTGCAATGTATTAGTCTGAGATTAATATGGTTTAAAACAGGCATCACAGCACAGCACCTTCTCATACTTGAAAACAGAATCTGGGAAGAAGCTTATGGGACCATGCATCCTGCAAGTCCTCACATTTGGCCCTGGTGTAAAGTTCAATTGGATATACTGCATCCACACCAGAACAAGAAAACCGCACTCAAATGTGCAAACTTTTTTTTTTTTTAAAGAGTGAGCTTTTGTATATTTAAAGCAAATAAATACACATTGAAAATTAAGAGTCTCACTCATGACTTTAAAATTACAAAGCAAGCATTCACTCACAGCATAGACTCCCAATATGATAGCACAGAGCAAACAATATGCTTTTTTCCTGTTCCCAGAAGAAAATGCAATAGACAGTATTAATAGTGGTATAAAGACTGGATCTGCTTTAAGATGAAGTAAAACAGAATAAGACAAACAGTAAAAAAAATAAGTAGAAGTAAAATACACACTTGTAAAATTCAGCAATATTTGGATGATGTACAATTTAGCTGATCATAAAAGCACTAATGTTGTCTATCATTAGATTTCAGAGTTGCTTTCACATTTGGTTTGTTGGTTGCTCAAAGAATACTGTCATAAAAGCAAAACCTACATATACTATTAATGATTCAGTCTATCTCATGAAAAACACTTCCTATTTATTAAAAGCTTATCTTACTGCAGTCTTAACAGCTACTTCTGCAAACAAACCATTTGAAGCACCCTTTGAAAAGTTTCTTACCACTGCCTCTTTCTTTGGAACACACTGATTTCACGTTATACGAAGGCTGCCTGGGATCCAGAAAGGAGACGTGTGCCTGTGATCCTACTGCATAGACTGACCACTCCTGACCATACGCCAAACACACGTTCTCCCTGCAGTATGGCAACTTTGTGGAAAGTAACTGGAAACAGAAGGAAAAAAAAAATCAACCCATTATGAGAAAAGAGCAAGATGTTAATAGAACAATTCTGTAAGCTATGTTCAAGGAAGTTGCAGTGAAGAAACCAAAATGCAGCTAAAAAATAAGTTTACCACAGAAATAGAACTTTAAGACAAAAGCAACAACCTGACCCAGAGAAAAAACCTGAAAGAGATGGGATGCCTTATCTGAAATGATAACTGAGATGATAAAGGCTGAAGCCAAGTATTATACAAAGAACAATGGACATTTTGATAAATTGTTTTACATCTTTCTAAGCTACTGTTATTTCTTCAGCGGGTGTACACAGACATCAGCTCTCAGCTGAAAAAGCTTACCACATACGCTAGCATAGATATGGCTGGGTGAACTGGCAGAAAGTTCAGAGCACTTCCCACCCTCCAAAAATGAGGGCAGTGGGGAGTTCCCTCAAGTTCTAAGTTTTAGCACATTTCATCTGACATAAAAGCTTTTAAGTGTTTTACAAACACTGCTGCTCTTTCTTCAAGCATTAAAGGAGATGAAGAATAGTTAACAGCCTTAACTGCTGTTTAAAATTTAACACCAACAAACAGAAAAACACCTTTGACAGTGTGTGCTCTGCTTTCCAGAGATGAAAATATCCATCTAGGGACACAGCTCCCAGCTCCTATTAAAAGAAAGAAAAAAAAAAAAAAGTAAGAGAGTTAGTTTCTGTATTACAGATGTCCTTACAAACTCACACTCTCTACTAGGCAGGCTGCATAGTCTGGATTAAACTCATTTGTAATCCTGTGCATGCTTACCAAGATAAATTTTCATTTAATACTGATCTTGATAGAATGTAATACAACACAAAGGTGCCAGGCAGAATAAAAATAATAAAACAATAAAAAAAACAAAAAAACCCAAAAATAACTTTCAAAAGTATAGATTTTGTTAGACAATCAAATAATGAATTATTAGACAGTATAATCTAGAGTTGACAATTCTCTTTAGCAGCTCCCACACTGATTCTGATGCTGAAGCAAACATTTCTTTCCAGGCACTACTCTACTGAAAAAGCTACATGAAGTCTCCGTAACAGAGGAGTAATTAATGGCTATAGTGAAAAGTAAAGCCCACAGGAGCACCATGCTTCTGAGAGCACACCCGCCTTTGCTCCAGACCTTCTCTGTTCTTTTAGGGCAGAAAGAATAGTGGAGAATGAATTGCTATTCCCACTAGCAATAACAAGAGATCAGCATGGGGGAGGTTAACGTTTACTGTTTGTCAAACACCAACAAAGTAACACCAAAGCAAGCACTGGTGCCTGCCCTGTCAGTCAGCCACCTTACTTGCTGAGAAATCCAGCAATGATTCAGTCATCAAAACAGAACTGCCTGAAAGTTACCTGGTCTTCACAAAAGGGGAAGGAAAGCAACAAGAGCACTCAAGAGTGGGATTCAATCTGCAAGAAGTGTTTTGGTGCTTTATCCACTTCTTGTAAACATTCCCCATCTCCCCCACTTAGGATGCAAGTCTAAAAATCAAACCCAGCAAAACTGTTCCTTCTGAAAACATGTGGCGTTCTTTTTCTACTGGACTTCTCCATTCACTTGGGGCAGAAGCAGACATAACAGATGAAGCTACCATCTCACATCATAAGGATGCAAAAGGATCAGGGGGAAAAAGTACTAGGTTGCTTCTCTGGTATTTTTTATTTAGATCACTTTTTCCTTTTTCTAATACATATGGACAGTTTTATGACTTGTCAGCAGTCTTGCTTATCTTACTGACCTTGTTCTTATTGTTGAAAGCCAATGCTCGGACTTTGCAGTTGTCAGGATTGGTGTTCTCCTTGGGGATATCCTTCAGAGCCCTGTGTGTTATGTGGGCATACACAGGAACTTGAGAGAGATTATGCCTGGCATCGCTTTTGGACAACACATCCTCTGTTACTTCCCAAAGTCCCATTGAACCATCCCGGGAACCTGAATAAATAGTCCATAAAAAAATAGTCAATTTCACATATACATAACTCCCCTTTTTAAAAAAGGAATAAACAACAGAGTCTGAAAGAAAGAAAGGATACTATTAATTTATTCTAACTGAACACACTGTTGGTGCCTAACAAAAACATGGTTTTACTGAGCTGTAAAGTTCATAACATTGTGAAGTCATTGTCAAGTGGTTTCTCTACATGGTTCCTAAGCAGCTAGATCACCTATTCTGTTGTCAAACTGACTAGGATGCATCAAAAAACACAATCCTGTACAAAAATCAGCATTAGAGATTCACACATGGAATAAACTCAGAGGCAACTGAACAGCCTACAAGTTCAGCCTGACTTACCAAGGCTGAGACTGACAGTCTGTTAAGCCAATACAAAAACCTCCAAGAGAACTCAGTTGGGTTTATGCCAATTTGGGTTAATTTGATTTCTACCAGTATGCTTATGGATATGTACACACACATTCATGTACTGAACAGAAACAGCTATTTTAAACCACAACTTGTACCAATTTGGATGAAATCTATTTTAAAAATTATTTTGCTAAAACCAGTGCAACTTCTTGTTTAAAGAATGTAACACAAGAACTGAAGTTGAACAAGTAAGAACTCATTTTGTTTTTCTACTGAACACATTAATCCAAAATATGAATCAATAAGAGTAACAATACTGTATGAAGAAAGCTGAATGTCTTTGGTTCATAGACCAAAACAGGCTTAATCCAAGGCCCTATACCCACCCCTTCTGGTGTTTAGGCAACTCACTTCCATCTAAGGCAGCTCTGACAGGTTTGACATGTACCTCAATTTCTTCCCTACAAAATGTGAAAAACACATCCCTCCTTCTCTCACAAGGAATGCATAATAAAGATGCCAGAAAATAATATTTTTATATATATCTATATCAGACTATTTTATATATATATTTATATACATTTTAATAGTCTGATATAGATATTTATTTTATAGGCTTTGGTACATCACAGGGAATAAGCTGCAAAGACAGTTAAGCAAAACATCTTGTTGCAATACGGATGGTCCAGCACAGCAGAGATGGCTTTGCCCCCTCACAGATGGTGCAGTCATTTGCCACTATCACCTACTACAGCAAAATACAAAAGGAGCTTCCCAACGGCACTTGCATAGCAGCAGGCAGCACACGACACAACATCCTGCCACTCAATTTACATGCTGATGGTTTTTAATGGCATCTAATCTTGCTTGTTATGGAGGCTGAACACTCAAGCAACAGAATTTCTAAACATGGGGACATACTTTAGGAGGAAACCGTCCCTTTTAGTAGCTTTAGCAGGGGAAAAAGTCAATATATGTTGTTCAACCGGTTAGCCCTGAAGCCAAGGAGAATAACATTTGTTACCCTATGCTCAAGCCATCCTGGGAATTATTCATCCCATCTGAAGTTTTTGCCATGGAAATCTTTTTATCCAGCCAATACAACTGAGTGGACTGATGCATTCTCCCTCAGCTATGGCTGTTTAGTCAAGAGTTTAATTTTATGCTTATGGACTACTGAAATACACTGCTGCAGGTTTTAGAAGCAGAGTCCTGCCTTGTTCTTGTTGAAGTTAACACAAGCAAGAGGAATAATCAAGCCCTTGGTCCTCTTTGTACTCTCTCAACCATTTTGACGGCAGTGACAAGAATACTGCCGAATCTCTAACCTCAAGCTATGTGATCGGTGTGATCTGCCATGGGACCAAATGCCCTTTTTCTCCTCCTGTGACATTCAGCCCGCCCCAAGAAAGTCACAAAAAAATTGCATTTAGTTTCTTAATTCAGATAAAGGTATTTGCTATGTCCTAAATGTTTGGAGTTCAAACATTTCTGCTCCACACTTTCAGATACAGATGTAATTGAAATATGTAAGACTAAAACAACGTCAAAAGTTAGTTGTCTTTGTTTTCTCCTGATTAGGATCATCAGCAAAGTTCTGAAGAACTCAGTTTAGCAATCAGACTTGCCAAATGCTTTCAACAAGTTTTCTGTGGTGTCCCAGATCTGGAGACTAGAACGTACATCCTGCTGTAAGCATCATACAACAGAGAACATGGCATTCTTCTCTTCACACCTCCACCTTTGAGCATGCAGAAAACATTGAGAGCAACACAGTTCAATCTCACATGCTGTGCCCCTATTCCATTGGGTCCTTACCTTTCCCTTGGATATTTGTAATCACCTCTGCTGTTCTCTTTAAGCTTACTAGCTGACAATGTTTTTTTAATGCAGATATTTCGGTTGGAGACTTGCAAGGATCAACTTTTGTATTAAATTCAAAATCAAATTCCAGGATTAGCTTTTTGGGGTTTTTTTGGGGGAAAAAAAAAACAACAAAAAACTTACTGAACTAACATTTCAAGTATTTGATTTTTAGGAGACTGTTATGATTTTCTGTCACCTGCAGTTTGACTCCTCCTTGTACAGCATACTATACCCTGTCAGCACAGAAAGACAGTATTAATGCAATAGCATATTAGTATTGCTGCCTTTACCTATGTATTGGCTTTGTGTGGCAAGGTTTTGGTAGCCGGGGAGGTTACAGGGGTGGCTTCTGTAAGAAGCTGCTGGGAGCTTCCCCTGTGCCCAACAGAGCCAATACCCGCTGGCTCTAAGACGGACCCGCCACTGGCCAAGGCCAAGCCCATCAGCAATAGTCGCAACGTCTCTGTGATAACATATTTAAGAAGGACAAAAAGTTGCTGGGACAGACAGAAACGGCAGCCAGAGAGAGGAGTGAGAACATGCAAGAGAAACAACCCTGCAGACCCCAAGGTCAGTGAAGGAGGAGGGGGAGGAGATGCTCCAGGCGCTGGAGTAGTGATTCCCCTGCAGCCCCTGGTGAAGACCCTGGTGAGGCAGGCTGTCCCCCTGCAGCCCAGGGAGGTCCACGGTGGAGCAGATCTCCACCTGCAGTCCATGGAGGACCCTACGCCGGAGCAGGTGGGTGCCCAAAGGAGGCTGTGACCCCATGGGAAGCCCACGCTGGAGCAGGTTCCTGGCAGGACCTGTGGATCTGTGGAGAGAGGAGCCCACGGAGCAGGTTTTCTGGCAGGACTTGTGACCCTGTGGGGGACCCACGCTGGAGCAGTGTGCTCCTGAAGGACTGCACACCGTGGAAGGGACCCATGCTGGAGCAGCTCATGAAGAACTGCAGCCCGTGGGAAGGACCCACATTGGAGAAGTTCGTGGAGGACTGTCTCCTGTGAGAGGGACCCCACACTGGAGCAGGGGAACAGTGTGATGAGTCCTCCCCCTGAGGAGGTTGAAGCAGCAGAAATAACATGTGATGAACTGACCATAAACCCCATTCCCTGTCCCCCTGTGCCACTGCGGGGGGTTAGGTAGAGAATCCAGGAGTGAAGTTGTGCCGGGAAGAAGGGGTGGGTGGAGGGAAGGTGTTTTGAGATTTGGTTTTATTTCTCATTACCCTGCTCTGGTTGATTTGTAATAAATTGAGTTAATTTTCCCAAAGTCGAGTCTGTTTTGCCCGTGACAGTAATTGGTGAGTGATCTCTCCTGTCCTTATCTCGACCCACGAGCTCTTTGTTATATTTTCTCTCCCCTGTCCAGCTGAGGAGGGGGAGTGATGGAACGGCTTTGATGGGCACCTGACATCCAGCCAGGGTCAACCCACCACAACCTAAGTAATACTTATGAAGTTACACTGATTATTCAACCAGTTACTAAGAAGTCAGTAACTGACCTTTTCTATTATAGCCTTCTGTATAAACTGCCATAATATATGTGCATATACATATATATATACACACACACACATACACACACAACTGTACTGATAGCTTGACAAAACAAACTGAGTTTTCATTAATTCAAAGGTTTTCCGGAAACTGATATTGCCCTGCTGTATTCCAAAGTTATTAAGTGATAACCAACATCCCTTTTGAAATTATTCTTCTTGTGTGGAATCCTTCCCTGTAACTCATTGTGTTTAGAGACCCTCTCATGGCAACACCTACTGGAAAGACAGTAGTATTCTGTCTGACACTAGAAAAATCAAGTCTAGACCAGGGCCCTACAAATAAAACAAAGTGAAGCACTGTACTAAGACCAAGAAGGGTTTAAATAGCCATGGTAGTTCCAGGTGGTTTCAAATGCCCTGATAAAGGTGCTTCCCTAAGACCTATCAAGTGCTGTACATCAGTATAAAATTCCGGAGGGAAAAAAAAGAAAAAGAAAAAAGAAAAAATTTACCAGAAACTGCCATAGTATCACTGATCCATGCAATTGAAAATATCCAATCTTTATGTCCATCCTAAAAGAAAAAAGACAGATTTTTGCTGTGCCGTTATACTCTAGAGTAGTCTCAAAGCAGAGAAGTATTCTTCACTTTTTTAGCACAAACTCAGAAGGACAGACCTACATTAAAAACATACACATAGGATTCCAGTATCAAGCTGGAGCAGTTTAAGGACCTAACAGTAATTTTAACTTTTTTTGATTTTGAAGTGTATAATTAATAGAGAGCATTCAGGTGATGGAGGAACAGGTCTCTGACCAAGGACAAACTTATCTCAGTTGTAAGGACTTGGATTTTCCTTTTTGAAAGTGGCATTCTTTACATCTGTGAAGTAGCTATATACTTTTATTTCCTCAAATGCACATCCCTACTATAAAAAGTAACAAAAATCTTAGTTTACAATATATGATCTACAGATTAATTTTTCAAGACCATTACTTCAAGAATCTTTTCTTTAGGTGAGAAACCTGTGGGGAAACAGAAGACCATAAGGCTCTAGTGCTGTTTGAAGAGCTGCAAAGCCACAGCAGCATGCAAATGAATAGCTAGTCATACAACTCTAAAGAGTCAAGCCTTTCTGCAGCTGGTTGTGTGCTACTGCAGAAACTCCGACCTGACCTCTGCTGTTGTAGTTAATGTCTATGTGAAAACCTGACTAAAAAGGAGAAATGAGAAAGAAGCTTACAGGACACAACTATACTCATTTCAGCCTTTTTTCTTTTTAAGACTGGCAATTTTAAAAAGGCCTCATGATGTTTCAGAAATATAAGCAGTACCAGAGTCTATCAAAGTGCCATAAGCTACCGGGTTAGAACTAATCCTCAAAGCCAAGTTCCGCCTCTGGAATAATACATAAATAAGCTGCACTGGAGAAGGGGAAAATTTGAACAACTGGTATCATCTTTTCAATTTCTCAAAAGAGCCTTTTCACTAAAACTAGTTTCAGAGGTCATCACCACAATTAGACTTTAATATTTAGGATTTTGTTACATTTTCAGTGCTTGAAAGTAATCTCAAGTAGACCTCAGTGTGGGTGAGGAAGAAGAAATCTGATGCAGAACCTTGAGAATCTTCTTACATGTTTGTGTAGTCACTCATATTTAAGAGATCTTGTCAAAAAAGGCAACTTCATCAGGAATGTTTTCAAGCTTTCAGAAATTCACTCTCCACTACAAGACTCCCAAATCTTAACCTTGCTCTCATGTTAGGCACTTCAAAGTAGTAATTCTTGTACATGACAGAATAAACTTTCCCCAAATACTCCTACTTACATCTCCCACACAGACAGGATCGAGTGTAGGCAGACGATAAATTGCAAGACTGTTGGGGTTGTCTCCACCCGTGGCCAGAAGTGTCCTCGAGGGGTTGAGCTCAATAGCATGAATACCACATCCCTGCTGGTTCACCATGCCAGGTTCACGATCTTTCAGAATAGGAATCTTGGTAATTTGACCAGTCTGGACATCTACTACAAATAACTGGGGAAAAAAACAGGAGATGTAGGTTATCACCAAACAGGCAAGAAAAACAAGATGGTCAAATATCCTCCCTATTTTGAGTTGACATTCTTTTAAAGTTGGAATACACAAATGCTGGGAGTATGGCTGAAAAAATGCATAAATTCCTTCTTAGAACAAGTAAACTAACTTCATTACAGTGGGTTTTATTTCAATCATCCCATTTGGTTTTCACAACAATGGAAGAGAGAGGAGAGAAATTTGTCACGGGAGGTTTCCCATTTAACAAACCCCTTGAATCTAAAACTCTTTTCCCTGTTCAATACCATGACAAAACAATATTGTTTTTCAGTTTTACTGTACCACAATGAGAAAGAGACTGACCTCAAAACAGGCAGTAAACCCCAGGGGACTTAGCACAAGTCTCCTGCCTCCCAGATAATATACTTACCATGAAGTTTTGGCTTTGGCAAACTGACACTTTATCAATTTATACAATTGGAGTTTATTTTCTGGTGATACACAGAAAATAGTAACTAAATATAGTACTGCCAGTGTAAGCAACTAAAAAAAGATATCTAGCTACGTACCTCATCCCACAAAAAGACTAGAATTTGGAGCTCTGTGTCACTGTCCCCTTGGCAGAAGACTCAGTTATAAAGCCTTACAACTCTTCAAACAGACATGATACCCAGAGTTATGTCGGTTCAAACAAGTATGACCATAGGGCTACAGTCTAAACCAGAACAAAGGTTTACATCACGTGCTAAAGTGCACTTTCATTTGGGAGGTTCTTGGGCTGGATCATTTCACAGATGTTGTTCAGAAGGCTGCTGCACTAACAGTCAAGTAGGTATAACAGAGGGGACAAAGCCCTTTGAGGGAACATAAGTGAAGTGAGCAAATGGAGGATCTGAAGCTGACTTGGCACTAAGGAAAGTGATGTAAAATCATAGCCCAGGATTATAATTAAATTCCATGCCCTGCCCCACAACTTTGTTCCTTCTATAACCAAAGAACATTGTCTCAAAGCCTCTGGAAGTGAACTGAAGATGGAGAAGACAACAACAACAAAAAAAAGAAGACTCAATGCAATTTAAAAAATACACACCTGTGAGAGACTGAAAGAGTTAATGTCTCAAACATTGTGGTGGGGCAAGTTCTGCTTAACTATGAACTCTGCCCAGCAAGGAACCCCAGGTGAAAAGAAGCCAATCATCACCCATCAGCAACAGGACTGGAGGGTGCACAGCTCCCTGTTCTGATATGCTGAGCAGGGCAGCTGACCATGCATGGCCAAAGATCAACGTCTGCAGGGAAGGACAAGTTACTCCCCAAAGGACCTGCAAGCCCACCGACCCATTTCCCAAAGGCTCACAAACTGCTCATGACACTAATTAGCCTAATGAGTTCGAATGCCTGCCCAAAGGAGGGGCAAAGATGATAAAAGGACAAAAACTGAAGCCCCACATGCGTGCGCCCACCAGAACTGGACCCTCGGCTGACTGGAGCAATGCTGGACCCAGGACTGGTGAAATCTTTCTCTCTTCCTTTCTCTCTCTCTGTCTTGTTCTCTCCTTCCTTTTCCATAACCCCCACACCTCATCCCTTTAGACACAAAGCCACTGACCAAGTCTAGGACTAGGAGTGGATCCAGCAGCCCCTGGGCTCCTCTTTGAGGAGTCTATAAAGCAAGGGAGTCTGCTCTGAACCTCCTGACTCAACAGGAGGGCTCTCCTTACCGTCTTCCCTGAACTGATCCCTAAATAAGCAAGGCCTGTAGTATACGTTTGGTGATGTATGGTTACCACATGTTACACAGTTTACTGACATAGTTTCACGCCAATTTTTGTTGTTAGCATACCAATTTTTGTGGTGAGCATGCCAACTCTTGTTGTGAGCGAATAAAAGTTGAGTTTTGTGAGTTAAGGTATCCCTGGTGTTTTTCACCTTAATCCTGACCTGGGAATCAGCAAACCTGAGTCGTCACCCTGAGAAATTGGGACATGACAACACTTCAAGGTAATTGTTCTGAAATCCTTTGTCAGACATTTCTCAAGGACAAAAGAGAAATCTAGAGGTTTTCAGAGAGGTTATACATAGAAGTTGCTTTTGGTGAACTCTCACAGACTGTAGATCTGTTCTTTAATAAGTGTAAAAAAAAAAGACCAAGAAAATTTAGGAGCATATCTATTATTCTTGATGTACTGAACTAGCAGAATATTAATGTCAAATCAAAACCCGATGAAGTATGGTATGTTAAACCCATTTTACAGAGAAAGCTGAACTCCATTCATCGCTATTTGTGTGTTGTACCTAGAACTATGCATTACCTTCAACCCGCAACTGATCTTCCGCTGTAGGCGGTCTTGCACAAACAAGTCCTGTTCCTACAGGGACTGAATTTTCATGTTTAGTTATTTTGTATGCAGGTGTGGAGTCAGGCAACAGCTGAAGTGCAGCTGAGTAGGAGGGAGGCACTCCTCACTTCTCCCAAGCCTTACAGTGCACTTTACTGCCTGAGACAGCTAGTAAAAACACAATGCACACAGCAGTCCCTCCGCCCTAACCACATCCCTGAAAATTAACACCTGCACTGCATGATCAGGACCAGTAATTCCCTCTCCTCTCACCTTCCCTTGTCCTTCCCCTGTGAGCACATATCCTCTTTTCCACCTCAGTATTTCCTTCCAGCAGAAACACCCAACTCCTCCTTCAACTACTGAAAAAACCCCACAAAATCAACAGTTAAGTACCTAAGATTAAGGCTCGCAGGCATCATTTGCAAGTCCTACAGCAGGCACCAGAAGTGCTAATTAGGAAGACATATCCACACCTCAGGATGTCCACTGACTTGGTAAAATCGTGCTTCAGCTGTAAGAGATTCACACTTCGAAGAGCACCTCAACAGGTATGAGGACTGAAATTAAAAACCCTTCACATTCTCCAGTCTGACACTGTCATACATCCATGTTTGATATGAGGCTAATAAAGACTTACTCTAATGCAAAATTCCATTAGCTAAACACTCAGCTAATTGGGCTGAGAAGATAAAGAACTTGGCAACACACAATGCTGAAGCATCAGACCTTCACACTTCTGCCCTGGATCTTCAACCTCAACATCATTTTCCTATACCAAGCTTCCAAATAAAGATATTCTCGGAAGCAGCAAGAGGACATATTTCTTGCAGTACTTTCACCTGCTTGTACCCCACTCTAATCCACCGTCAGCCCTTGAATTGCTTTGTAACTTCCTCACTTTTGTCCTCCAGTTGCACAACATTACTGTAACCAGAACAGCAGCTGCTCTTAGGGCAAGAAACTTTGCACAGTTAAGGGACTGGCTTTGTAGTTTCAGCTGTAAAGTTCTAAGCAGTAACTTCTCCCCTTGCCTGGTGTCCTAGTTTCAGCTGGGATAGAGTTAATTGTCTTCCTAGTAGCTGGTATAGTGCTATGTTTTGAGTTAGTTCAGTATGAGAAGAATGTTGATAATGCTGATGTTTTCAGTTGTTGCTACGTAATGTTTAGTCTAAAAGTCAAGGATTTTCCAGGTTGTCATGCCCAGCCAGCAAGAAGGCTGGAGGGGCACAAGAAGCTGGGAGGGGACACAGCCAGGGCAGCTGACCCAGACTGGCCAAAGGAATATTCCATACCATGTGATGTTATGCCCAGTATATAAACTGGGGGCAGTTGCCTGGGGGATCACTGCTCAGGAACTAACTGGGCATCAGCCAGCAAGTGGTGAGCAATTGCATTGTGCATCATTTGTTTTGTATATTCCAATCCTTTTATTATTATTGTCATCTTATTGTTGTTATTATCATTATTAGTTTCTTTCTTTCCATTCTATTAAACTGTTCTTATCTCAACCCACAAGTTTTACTATTCCAGTTCTCTCCCCAATCCCACTGGGTGGGGGGGAAATGAATGAGCAGCTGTGTGGTGCTTAGTTGCTGGCTAGGGTTAAACCACAACACTTGGGAAGGAACCTGGCACACAGTGGGTAGTTTACAAACAACCACCACCTCCCTAGAATAAAATAAGCAAGCACTTCTGCGTATGCTAGGACTCTTGCATCACCTGGGGCAGGACAGGAAGCCAGAAGCTCACACTTGCAAGCTGCACCACTGATTGCCAAGAAATCCTCCCTGTAAATCCAACAAAGAGAAGCCAAGAGAAGCCAAACAATTGTTAGACACTTCTAAAACCAAAAAGGGAGAAATATTAAAAAACAAGATAAAGAAACAAGAAAAACATGTAAAGATTAAAAAAAGGCACCCATCTAAGAACGCATAAAACTTTAAGAGTTTTCAAGACACTACAGTAAATAAAGTACAAAAAAACTGACTGCTTTAAACAAGTGCAGCCAAAACCACAACATACAATGACATAAATCCAAAGAAAAAAACAGAAATTGGCCTACTTCTTCCAAGCAAACTGATACCTTTGCTCTCTTGTAAGTATATCTGCAAATAACTCCAAAGCAGCTGGGACTCTTAAGAGTCTTGACAAAGTCCTGATAGCTGAACTACACATTTATTTTTTTATCGCAAGCAGGAACTTCTTTTCCAGCTACTCATTATATAGAAACTAAAAAGCAGCCCCCAAAAACTTTTCCTAGATGCAGTAAACCCCCACCAACCTCCAAACAGTGAACTGTGCATATTTGTCCCTTAGTTTTAAGCTTTGCACATAATTCAGTTCTTCCTGCTACTAAAACATATGCATATCAGGCATTGGTGTGCCAAATAACTTAACATCCAGGATTTACCAAGCTAGGATTGCTTTGGCCATCTGCCAGAAGTCCAGGACCACACTTCATCTGTGAGAAACAGCAGATTCAGCTATCGTGTTCTTTACAGGACAACCTTGTTCTAACAAGGAAACAGGCTGGATGACACGACAGAGAGAAATCCATCTTCCCTCTTTTTTTACTTTTTTTTTAAAGCACGTCAGATGTACAGCTTGTAACAGTGCTATTGCTTGATGATCAAGGCAGACAGGCATGGCTAGGTACTA